AACCATTTCTTCATCGAATTGTGACGTGAGATAAAAAGTGGATTTTATATGACAACCAGCTCAGTGGTTGGACTGAGATGAAGCTCCAAAGCACTTCCCAAAGCCAAACTTGCACCAAAAGAAAGTCACGGTCACTGTTTGGTGGTCTGCTGCCGGTCTGCTCCACTGCAGCCTTCTGAATCCTGGTGAAACCATTCCATCTGAGAAGTGTGCTCAGCAAATCGAAGAGATGCCCCCAAAACTGCAATGCCTGCAGCTGGCATTGGTCAACAGAAAGGGCCCAGTTCTTCTCCATGACAATGCTGGATCACATGTACTACAACCAATGCTCAAAAGTGGGAAGAATTGGGCTACGAAGTTTTGCCTCATCCACCATGTTCACCTGACCTCTCGCCAACCAACTACCACTTCTTCAAGCATCTCGACGTTCTGCAGGGAAAACCCTTCCACCAGCAGGATGCAGAAAATGCTTTCCAAGAGTTCATTGAATCCCAAAGCACGGATTTTTACACTATAGGAATAAACAAACTTATTTCTCATTGGCAAAAATGTGTTGATTGTAATGGCTCCTATTTTGATTAATAAAGATGTGTTTGAGCCTGGTTATAATGATTTAAAATTCACAGTCTGAAACCACAGTTACTTTTGTAGCAACCTTAATATGTATGTTGGCCTTTTGGGCATCCTCTTTTGTGAAATGCCTCTTCAGATCTTTTTGCCAATTTTTTAATCAGATTGTCTTTTTTCTTATTGATTTATAGGAGTTCTTTATATATTCTGAATTCCAGTCTTTCGTTGGAAATATCTTTTTCAACGTGGTGTCTTGCCTTTTTACTCTTAAGATGTCAATAAACAAATTTTACATTTTGATATATGCCAAATAATTAATTTTTTCCTTTTGTGGGTCGCCTTTTTGCACGAGAGTCTGAGGGGTGGGGCGCGGCTGTCCCAGACGCGGCAGTCTCCGCTGTGGCTAACCCCCACGCTCTCCTCAGCCAGACACGCCTCAGTCGCACGGCCACGCCTCCCTGCCCTGGGGCGGCGCATCCCCGTGGGCTCCTGCTCAGACTGAGTCCCGGCTGCGCCGCGCTGGCGGACGGCTGCTCCTGGAGCAGATGGGGCACAGCGTGGCAGCCACACTGGTGCATGACCCCACACCTGGCCACGGTCGACTGGGCAGGAGCAGACCCTTACCTGGCTGGGTGAATCAGGATCCCTCCTCTGGGGATCTGGAATTTGTCCTGGGGGGTGCTGGACCCTGTTTGTGCTGTAGCGAGAAAGAGATGAGAACTCAGGAGCCGAGGCTGCCGTGGAGACAGGAGAGGGCCCGGCTGGCCCGGCACCCTGGAAGCCACACGCATGGTCTGCAGAAGACCAAGGCGGCAGATGTGCAGGGGCTGCGAGGAGGGGGGGAACGCGGACACCATCGAGGTCCCTCGCCTCCTGGCCTTGGCCTCCACGTGCGCTCCTGCCCTGAGGGTCCTGCAAGATACCCAGCATCTTCCCACCAAATCCCCCTTTTTGTTTAATGCGAGTCCTGTCCTTGCAACCAAGAGAGCCCTAGCTAAGGGGTGCTTATCATCTGGAATCTTCAGAGCAAAGGGTTCCTCCCTATTTAGAGATGAAGAAGCTGAGACTTGGACTCAGGGAATGATTTCTTAAAAAAAAAGTATTTGGTTCCCTGACTGGCTTTGGAGACCTGCGCCAAACACACACGAAACAGGGCGTTCTCTGCCACAGGGCTGGCCAGGTCCTTGGCAGCATGGCACACATGGCATCTGCTGCATTTATTTGACCATGGAAACCCCTTTTATAAGGAGCATTGTGCGGAATTAATGTTTTAAGGAAAATGCAGCAAGGAACCAAATTTCTTCTCCCCACCTAAGGGTTCCCTCTGGAAGGAAGCGTCCTGGGCAAATAACCACGGGGTACATGGCCCCTTGTATGACCTGTCGAGGGCAGGGATCTATCTTATAATCTCTCTCCTGAGGGTGTTTCTAACCGACTCCCCTGGGCCTGGGCCCCACTAGATGAATCAACTACAAGTGAATTTCAGAATCTTCCAAATGGTCGATGCCCAGACTCCAGGCTCCGCCAGGCCACTGTCACCCCAGGAGCCTGGCCCTCCACCAGCCTGCCCCTCCCAGTAGCAACGAGGCCAGAGAGGGGCAATGGAAGAGGGGGCCTGGGAAGAAAACGTGATAATGAGGAGGGAAAGAGTACAGAAAGAGGGAGAGGACCAGAGAGGAAGGAAACAGTCAGGAACAGACGGACCCTCAGACCGGGGGACCAGGAGGGTCTAGGGAAGGCACTATTTGCCAAAGGATACATACACATGATTCTGGAAAACCAACAAGGACGGTTCATGCCTGGGAGCTGGCAGCATGGAGCAACGTGGCCACCCCAGGCCTGAAGGGGCAAGGGAGGGAGTGGAACTGGAGAGGGGGGTGTGGAGGAGGCCTCCAGGCAGGAGCTGCCAAGGCCTTTGACCTGGACCAACACCCCGTCTATGCTACCCTCTGGTGTCCCCATAGTGCCTCCCACTGGCCAGACCCCATCAGAGGGCCCCAGGGCAGGGAGCAGCGATGCAGCCTTGAGCTGGGCAGGGCGGAGACAGGCCAGAGCGGGGCAGAGGGCAAGGGAGGTTGTCCAGCACAGGCAGGTTTGGGAGAAGCAGGAGGAAGCCAAAGAGGAGAGCGGGGAGATGAAAACAGGCTATAAAAGAGAGGGCCTTGAAAGAAGCAGGAGCAGAGGGGAGAGGAGCCTCAGGTGGAAGCAGCTTCCTCGCTTCTCCAGCAGGCAAGGGCTGTTGCCATGACCCAAACCCCGGTCTGAGTCCCAGAGCAGCCCCCCCAGGAGGCAGGCAGGCCAGCGCCGCAGGGAGAGGGAGCCGCCTCCCCCCACTGCTGCCGGCTCCCACAATTGGGTGGGCGGACGCAGCTCCTGGAGACCAGCTACGCAGACCTGCCTCTGACGAGCACAGCCCTCCCTTTCTGCAAGCCAGTGCCTGAAAGGTTGGGAGCATAAATCAATGCCAGGCGAGGGAGCCCATGTTGAAAGTTACCAGGAAAATGCATCGCTGAAGACTCGAGAGTGAGTTCCTCTTCACAGACAAGAGCTGTCCCTGGACGTGTTTTTTGTGCACACACTGGGGTGGGTGAAAGTGGCCCTTCATCTGGAGGGTTTCATCATGGGGACATTCTGGCCTGGCTGGGATGGGTGACAGGCCACCTCTGCTCCCGGACCCCCAGCATTAAGGGAAACTTGCCAGCACTCACACTGCCTCTCTGCGTCACCCCTCCAAGTTCTGGCAACTCCAGGGAGGGGGAGTAGTGTGCCTCTACCCGCTGCAGGGAGACGAACCCTTGGGGCGGCGCGCTCAGGCCTGCCGGTCTCCAGCCCTGCTTCCTCCAGCCTTGCAGGAGGTGGGCTTCCCTAGCCTTGCGAGCTCCCGGCCTGGCCCAGCCACCAAGGGAGGCCGACTCTTCTCCACCTGTTGCCTCCCAGGGCCTGGCTAGGTGGGGACGGCAGGACAGTCACCTTCCCAATTCACTCCCAGTGCCAGCAGCACCAGCTCTCGGCAAGAGGAATCCAGGAACAGCACGGCCAGTGCAGGGAAAGTGATGTCTGAGGCTGGGGAACCCCTCACGGAGGGGACAGCTGCCGTGGATCAAAGCCTGCTCCTCTGCCTCTACATCATCATTGGCAGAGGGCAGAGGCGGGGGTGGGGGCCGGAGCAGGGCTGCAGGAGAGCTCTTTGCATCCCGAGAGTAAGTCTGGATGCCCCAGAGGCACCTGGTGAAGGCAAGGGGGCAATGCTAATGCCCTCTGAGCCCCGGGTGCAGCAGGGGCCAGAAAAGGGGCTCCAGGACCAAGCCACATGCCAGGGAAGGCTTCCTGGAGGAGGAAGCATCTGAGCCAGGTCTGAAGGAGGCACTGGTGGTGCCCAGGCCATTCTCAGATAGGCTGATCCCTCGTCTTGGAAGAGTCTTCACAGGCAAGACACCAGGAGAAGGCTTGAATCTAGAGACTCATCACAAAGTGCCCATTAATGGGGTAGATGGATGAGGAAATCAAAGAAGGCTTCATGGAGGAGGTGAACATAAGCAAAGCTTTAAAGGAAGGGAGTCGAGAGAGACCCCAGATCTGGCTGACCCCTCAGCTCCATGCCCTCATTGCTCCCAGGACCTTCCCTCCTCAGCTGTCGTCTCAATCTGAGGCCGTACAGTCCTCTAATTGTTCCATGAATGTCACTGGACTGTGGGCTACCAGTTTTGCTCACCATGGTGACATAGTGAATGTTGAATCAGTGTTTTTGGAATGAGTGTTTTGGGAAAGGGTGAATGACTGAATGAATGACTAGTCCCAACTCTGGTGGCCTGGAGGTGCAGTGGGTCAGTCCCACCGAGGGGTGGGAGGCAGCAGAAGGCCTGGAGGTTTCTAAGCATTGTGGTGCCACCCTGCTCAGGCTGGGGCAAGCACTGGGCATGCGGCTGCTCGGCCTTGCTCTGGGAGGCCGCCCAGGCAGGGAGCCACGGGTGCCGGAGCCTGCAGGACGTGGGCTTCGAGAGAAAGGAGGGCCCAAATGGAGCCAGACCTCATGGTCATCTGCACCCCAACCACATGGACCCTCTCCCCGGCCCAGGGTCCCCCAGCAGCCACGAGGCCCTGCCTCCTGTCTCCCCCACAGCCTCGCTGGTCTGATAGTGCTGAGTGATTTGTGGGCCTGACAAGTTGAATTGTGGGTAAAGCGGTTGTCCAAATGGGGAGCAAATTGGAACTGCGGCCCCAGCCAGTGGACCATCCATCACCGGGGGAAAGCTGCGCCAGCAGCTCTCTGACCCGCCAGCGGCCAGCTGGGGCCAGCACCTCACTGTGCCTGCCCCAGGCTGAAGGGCTCGTCCCCCCTCCACACCTAGGGTCTGCAGGGTCCTAGCTGGGAGAAACACAGGGAAGAGAGGGACTGAGATTCCCAATTCTTACATTTATAAAGTCTGCTTTGGACTTTTCCAAGGCACTTTTATGCTTATGAATTTGCCACCTCTCTCGAGGGGTATATATTTAAAAATTGAGAAACTGAGGCAAAGTATGCTTGGGTGACAGGCCCGAACTTACACAGCATTCACAGAGACAGGAGCATGCAATTTGCTTCTGGAGTACCTGGAATTCTTAACAAAGCAGTGGTTTCCTGCAACCTGGAAGAATTCAAAAGCAAATAAATATTCCATTTGGCATAACTCCGAGTTCCCAGAGTTGACACCTTAGTGGCTTCATTATGAACCAATGAGGTGAAGCAGCCACAAAAAACACCCATAACCTACAAGCCCTGTCTTGAGGGACTCGTCGACCATTCAAGGAGCTGTGCCCCCCACCTGCAGTCCCCTCTAGATAGGAGAAGCCCCCCCCTCCCCGCCCAGCCTCTGACACCCCATGCCTGGAGCCGTGAGACCAGCTCATGGCATGGTCAATTAGGACAGAGGTGGTCGCCAGAGCCAAAGGCCCGTTCCTCACAGCCTGGTCGCTGAACTTCGGCTGGGGCCTGGCTGAGAAAGATGAGCTCAGCCAATCAGAGTCAAGGAATTTGGAACTGGGCCCCTGAGCAACCCAGTCAGGTAGCAGCACGAACCGAGCTGAAAGGTCATGGTGACCTCAGGACTCATCTTTTCAGAGGCCCAAACTATCCGAGCCCTGCTCACTGCCTCCCGCCAACCCCTGGACCAGAAAACTCCGTAGGGGTGGGGGGATGCTGCTGTCAGCCCAAGTGCCCCAGGCTGGTGGCCTGTTTATCCACATGAGTCATTTGCGTCCCCCCCACTCCAGCCTGGGATTGGGAAACATAAAACCCGGCACCAACCTGTCTCTCTGTTTGTGCTGAGTCACCCTTTCCTGAGCCAACAGCTGAGCTGTCCTGCTGACTACCAAATGACTCGGCCAAGGCTGGGGACGGGAGGAGCCATGGAATACAAATGAACGATCCGTTACACAAGGTCACATGTGGCCCAGGACCCCAAACACTGAAGCATCAGGAAGGGAGAAGGGGTGCGCACGCGTGTGCGCGCATGCACGTGTGTATGTGTCTGCGCCCCTCCTGCTGACCTCTGTGCTTCCCACTTCACTGTCACTTGGCCCTCCCTGGCTGCCCTGGCCCTGGGGCCCCTCATGACCTGTTGGCTTAATGCTGGGAGTCGGGCTGTTCGCACACAGCGCATTTCTGTCTGTTGCATCAGGGCTTGGCGTGGGAAGCAGAAGGCACATGGGGTTTGAAGCAGAGACTGATTAACATGGGGCGTTGGGTACACACACAGTCACCGGAGGTGCTGCAGGAGTGGCTGTAGGCTGTGTCAAGCGTGAGTCTGCACCCACTGCATTGGCCCCCTGCAGAGGGGCTGCCCTGGCCCCACCAGGAAAGTGCCACCACTGGGACACACTGCTGTAGCTGCAATCTAAGGTCTGGAAGCCACTGTCACCACCATACCTGCGTCTGGGTCCCACAAAGCTAGCGGCTGGACATTAGAATGCTCCAAAAGGAAACCCTTGTGCCCTCGACCCTGCCTGCCACCAGCAGACAGCCAAAGGAAGCCGGCTCCCTGTCACCTCTGCCCTCTGCATCTCATGCAGGAGCCTCTGTTCAGCAGCACCCGCTCGTCACCTAAAACCTGAGTGCATGGGGTCTGAGAAACACGGTTTTTAGCTTTGTAGCCTCTGCAGTGCCAGAAGGAAGGAGTGGATACTGAGTCCAAGCACATACCTCAGAGCCCAATTCCAAATTCCCAAGAGACCTCACAGGCAGACTCGACCCATCGTTTACAGCCATCATGGGCTGGTGTCCTTGGCGAGGCCTGGCCTGGGGAAGCTGTGTGAGCACAGGCGGGTCTGCGGGCGGGTCTGCGGGCGGACTGGGAGGCCGGGCGCTGCTCTAGGAGCGTGCGCGGAGGCACGTGCACGAGCCTGCCTGGGAAGAGGAGTACAGGGCTCTTAGGGCTGGGAGACCAAGCCCAGCCCAGCCACATTCTCACCGGGACTCTGAGAGCAGGAGCAGCCGGGGGTCAAAGTCAAGTGGGGAAGTCAGAGACAGGTGGCCCTCAGCCACTCCCAGGGCTCCCTCTACCCCTGGGTCACTACAGTCATCTCTGGTAAGCTCCCAGGGAAGTCTGAAGTCTTTTTTCTCCCTGACCTACATTCGTTGGGGATCCCAGCACCTGGTATTCAAAACAGGGTGCCCAGAGTGTCCCTCTCTTCAAAATACCGTCATGACACAAACACCGTGGGTGCAGATTCCCTGAGGGAGCTTGCCGGGCTGAGGAACACCAGCCTGGAGGCCCAGGGCCCTCTGACAGAGGCCAGCTGTCTGTAGGCCACTTGGCCCAGGCAGGACTGAGAGAGCCAGAGATGCCAGAGCCAGGCATGGCTGTGCCCCAAGCCCTTGCCAGCAGAACCGCTCTCCCCTGCACTCAAACAGCTCAGCTGCCACTCGCTGCTCCCTGGACGGGTGAAGGTGCTGCCGCCCCGGAAGTGTCGGGAGGCTGCCCAGGAACGCAGCCCGCTGTGAGGAAGGGCCTGCCTCTCTGCAGTGCGGCAGAGAGCCAAGACACCCGGCTCCACCCGCCTCCCTCGGAGAAGTGCTCGGCCGGTAACGGCCTCGGCCTCAGGACCGACCTGGCCAGGGCCTGGCAGAGGAGGAGCCCAGAAGCTGAAGGACCATCACCCCCACTCAGAATGTGCCGGAGGGACAGGCCCCTCCTCCCTCTTCCCCCAAAGGGCTCCCTCCTCCCAAGCGCCCGTCTGTGTCAGCGCCCCCAGTCCCCAGTCTCGGAGACCCGCTGCTGCCTCCCCGAGGCGCCTCCAATATGGCCCGTCCTTGTCACTCCTGCCTTTGGACCCTCTCGGGCCTCCTCTCCCCTCCCCTTGTCACCACACAGGCCGCCTTGCCCAGCCTGCCTGCAGTCCCTCTCCTGTCCCGAGAGTGCCCTGCCCTGACACCCCCAGACAGCCCTGCACCGCCCCAGCCAGCCGTTCCAGGCCACCCCACATTCTGGCCAGACTGCATTGTTTATCACTTCCCCAGCAGTGGCACGGGCGGGCGCAGGCCGGCTCACGAGAGCCCTCCCCCGGGAGCTCCGCCTGGGCTGGTCCTCTGGGGTTCTGAGCTGTGAGCATGGCGCAGTAGACTGAAAGAAAAGAATGCCTCCCTCCCAAAGACACATTCACTTCTGAATATTACCTGCATGCCAAAGGAGTGAATATCGCCCTCGATGGCAAAGGATCCCAGAAAGAGAAACTTATCCTGGACGATTCGGGAGGCCCCTAAATGCCATCACAAGTGTCCTCATAAGAGAGCTCAGACACTCAAAGGAGAAGCCGCGGCAAACGGCCGGAGACGTGGGCCCCCGAGCCGGGAGGCGCTGGCAGGCACCGGAGCTGAGCAAGGCCCCAGAGCCTCCAGAGGGGGCACGGCCCTGCCCACAACTTGGTTTAGGACTGGATTTGTAGCCTCCAAAGCTGTGAGAGAGTAAATTTCTGTTGCTTGAGGCCACTAAGTTTGTTGCCATCTGTTATAGCAGCCCCAGGAAATGGATACAGGCAGCGAGTGCTGGAGCTGCTGGCGCCCTCTTGTGCCTGGTGGAGAGGGCTGCGGACCCATCGGAGGAGGGCAGAGTGAGGGACGGGGACAGACGTGGGGGCCAGCAGAGCCCTGAGCACACTGGGTCACCCTGGAGGCAGCCTTCCCTCCCCGGCCTGTTTAGCAACATAAGCCAACACTTTCCTTCTTACTCGAGCCAGTTTGAACTGGTTTCCTGTCACTTGCAACCCAAAGAGTTCTAACACCCTCACCCAATAATTAGTATGAGCCTTAAAAATAGCTCAAATCTTTGACCCAGTGATCCCAGCTTTCTGCCCTAAGAAAATAATCTTTCTAAAGACAGCCACTGCAGTGTGAAAAAATAGAAACAATCTATATATGCAACTACAGGACATGCATTCATAAATTATGGAACAACCATATGGGGGGATATTATGTGGCTATTAAAAACTATGTTTTCCAAGCACCACATGTACTCACCAGCAAATTGGTATTAACGGATCAACACCTAAGTGGACATATAGGAGTAACATTTATCAGTATCGGGAGGGTGAGAGGGAGGAGGGGATGGATATATACAACCACAACGAGTAAGATGTGCAACGTTTAGGGGATACACGCTTACTCTTACTCGAGGGGAGATGGAAGCTCTTACTCAAGGGGGGAGGGGGCATGGGCAATATATGTAACCTTAACACTTGTACCCCCATAATACGCTAAAATAAAAAAAAATAAAAACTATGTTTTCGTGCTCATTATAAAGTGGCAAGTGAAAAGCAGGACATTAAAAAATATACATATACACATATATATACATCTGTATATTTTTGTATATAAACAGGATGATTTCCATTTTTTTAGATTTCGCTTTAGATCATTTTTGAAAATACAAAGCATTATGCATACAGTTGAAATCCTTTGTGTACCTCTCTTCCTCCTTCCCTCCCCAAAGGGAGCCACTCTAGTTAAGTTGGTATCATTCCCATGCATAATTTTAAATATTTACTACCTATGTATCCATAAGTAATACATGATATTTGCCATGTTTTTACATTTCAGTAAATAGCATGAGGCTTTCTGCACTTGTTTTTCCTCAACCAACAACAAAGGTTTGTGGATTTAATCCATTTTGATCACATGTAACTATCTATAGTTTAATTTTAACTGCTGTCAAGAATTTCATTTGAGTCTCTCACATTTTATTCATTTTTCTGGTTAATAAGTGCTGAATTATTGGCAATATTTTTACCCTAAAATGCCGCAACTCTCGCGCTTCCTTGTGTACACGTGCGAGTAGCTGGGGCCCGGGCGGCTCCTCACAGCCGCTGCTGAGTCGTGCTCCTACGCGGTGCTCCCAAGCCTGAGTGCAGTTTCCATTTCCACACCTTCAAAGGAGAGATGCTTTCATTTCTGCCAGTCCACGGGTAGGAAGCTGTGATTCGCTGTGTGACTGTGATGTGTGCCCCTGTGTACGGCGCTGTCCGTCACCTGTCCGTGTGCTTGTGTCCCCTCCAGCGTCCTCCTCTGCTGACTGTCTGCCTATTCTTCTACTGCGGTGTTTGCCTTTGAAAAGAAATATATTCTCATGAACTACACTCACATGTCAACAGAGCTTTAACAGTTTTTCTTTTTTATAGTAACAGAACACTTTGTTTGGGGCGGTGGCCCTGTCTGCCTTTGCTGTCTGAAACCCCCCCAAACCTCCACATCCCCACCTGCTCTGGCCAGGTTCTTGCCTGATCCCGCCTCACAGGCCACAGTGATTGGTCCAGGGTTAGGCATCTGACCCAAGCTGGGCCAATCAGAACGCTTCCCTGGGGTTTTTTAAACTGGAGCTGGCTGAGAGCTGGTCTTCCCCCTTGATCATGAAGGTGTGAGGACGTGAGGCCACATTCCAGCTTCACAGAGACAAGCAGGTTGAGACCCAGAAGCAGAAACACCGAGGGAGAGAAGGCAGTGAAAGTGAGAGGGCCTGGGGGCCACCAGGCCTGCCAGACTCTACATACACACAGCTCTGACCTTGGCTAAACGACGGGACGTGGGGGATGAGCCCGGCCAGGACCGGCCCGCCACCAAAGGCTGCCAGCCTTCTGCAGGGCGCTTGCCAGGCTCCGACCCGCCCAGGGTCTGGAGAGGCCCTGGCTTTGGCTCCTCAGCCGGTGCCGCAGAGAGGCCTGCTCCTGAGCTGCAGCGGGGGCTGACAACCCCCCCCCCGCTCCTTGCAGGCTGAGCCTCCCGACCCGTGAGGTGAGGTGCCGGCCAAGGGCCTCCCTCGACGCTTCTGCCCCCCGCGTCCCGCACCTCCCCTCTCAGTCTGGAGGCTTAAAGTGAGAAGTGTGTTCCAAAAGACGTGGCTTATGGGAAAACTTCAGCCAAGTCGATTAATGGTAAAACCCTTGAGCAAACACAGCTACTTTTATCATTTTAGAGTGTTGTGATTTGAGCGGCAAACGAAATTAAATTAAAAACACAGAGACTTCAGGTCAGAACCCTGGCCTCTCTTGTTGGTTTTTAATCTCCTATTAAACGATACATCTTCCGATGGCCTTTGTCAGCCTACTCCATGCAATAACCCGGGGCGTGCGGCCCGCTCACCCACTCGTCCCGCCACAGGGCTGGGGGTAGCGCTGCTGGCAGCCGGGTCAACTGACAAGCTTACAGTGGGGCTGGGCGGGTGGGCCACAGCCCAGGGAACGACGGGCAAACCGAACGTCGCTCGAGCTGTGTGGCAAAGTGAAGGGCAGGGAGGTGCCCCAGGGCCTCCCATTACAGAGGAATCACCTGGAGCCCAGAAAGCAAGAGGTTTCCAAAGTCACATTCAGAGCCAAGACTGGAACGACACCTGGCCCCCACGCGGCATCAGGGAAGGGCTGAGCCGGGTGCCGGAGTGTGGTCCTCGGCTCCCCACCTTCTCTCGGGGCTTCATCAGTTGGGCTTCTTGATCTTGGTCCAAGAGGCAGAACTGGAAGGAGGCCCAGTCCCCATCTTTGGGGCGGTCCTGGCCTGATGGGAGAGGCAGTTCCCATGCACGGAGACCCCCCAGGGTGATGACAGAGACACTACCCTACCCTCGGGAATCTCCCCGTACGGCGGAGCACAGGCACGGACAGATGGCCAAGTCCATGAGTAAATTGTTTTGGTGAGAACAAGGAAGGCTGGCTTGGAATCTGTGTCGGCTTCTCCAAGGAAGGCTTCCTGGAGGAGGCTGAGAAGGAGGCAGTTTCAAGACAGCTTAGGCAGAGGATTCACGGCAACAGAGGCTGGAGCTGGTGAGGGAGAAGAGACGCGGGTGAACGTCCTCGATGAGTTCCCTGTGCCGGCACGCAGACACACATGAACACCCAGGCCTGTGCACACACTCATGCCTACTTACACACTCAACCATGCACACTCAAAAACAAGTTCACACGCCTCGCAGAGGCACACACGAGGTTTCTCCTACCTCCATGAGTACATGCACATGTATATACACACACGCATTCCTGCATATGCACCTACACACGCAATGACATGCAGGCCCACACTCTGGCCAGACCCAGGCTTTATACATAGCTCAGACACACCCTGTACGCTCTGCCCTGCACACAGGCCGGGAGCCTGCACCACCCCAGCCTTGCCTGCGGTTCCCCAGCAGCTGTGTCACCTGTCAAAAGCTCTGTGCCCCCTGCCTGGCTCTGTCTGCATGCCTGCCCCTACCATGGTCCCTCTCTCTGGTACACCTGCTGCCTCGCCTCCAGCTCTGTGGGTGGCAGGGGGCTGGGGCTCACCAGGAGGACACTCCTGGGGGCTTCCTAGGCTGTCTGCTGCCCAGAGGACCTGCAAGCTGGGGAGGAGTCTCCAGGAATTGTCTGGGCCACCCCCAGCCTCAAAGCAGGACTCTCCCCGTTCCCTTGGCAGCCACTTGTTGCCTCGCTCTTTTTGACTCAAGGGCTCTGTGACAGGTCAGGACCCTGCGAAGCCGACTCTGAGGGAGGTCTGTGTGCAGGAAGTGTCCTGGCGAGAGCTCCTGTGGGGGCAGGAGAGGCCAGGCGGCTAAGTGGCCACAGCAAGGGCCTTGGCCACCCCAGGGCCAGCTGAGGAGGGGATGGCCCTGCAGCGGTTACCACATGGGGCATGGTGGACCCTCCCTCACACGTGCGCAGTACCAGCCACTGGGCTAAGCTTGAAGGAGGAGGTCCTCTTCAGCCAAGGGCACCCGCAGGCTAGAGGGCTCAGCCTGGGGCTGTCCGCCAGCAGCCCTCCCCTGCTGGGAGCGGGCACTCGAGTCCCGCGGGGCGGGTGAGTGGGCAGCGCCTCCGTGCAGCGCTGGTCTCCAAACAATGCCACGCCGACGCCCTCCCACTGCCCGGCCCGGCATCACAGCTCCGGTTTGAGGCTTTTGTGTCGCTCTCAGAAAGCCCAAGGAGGCTCCGCCAGCACCCCCTTCTCCCTCCTTGGAGCCTGGGGCCATCTGTGAACCGGGGGGGCTGCGCGTCTTGCTAGGGCTCTGTGACTCAGATCAGCAGGACGGGGGCCGAGTCTGTCCCGTTTGCTGTGGGCTGACGAGACAGCGTGGCTGTGACTTCCCGACTGAGAGGCTCTGGGCGTGGCAGAGGCTTTCCGCGTTCTGCTGACAAAAGTCCCCCCCCCCCACATACCTCAGGCCTTGGTGGAGTCCCGCCACCTCTGCTCGCGCCTCGCAGGCGGGCCTGGCAGGGTGGGGCCAAAAGCTTTTGGATCCAAAGAAAAAAAAATTTTTTTTAATTTTTTCTTCTCCAGGGAAGGTGTGAGCTAGAGGGTGCAGCTCTGAGAGGAAGGGGCCGTCCCACCTAGCCTACGTTTCATCTGTCCTAAGGTGCGCGTTTCTTTTCACACTTTAATATCCCTGAAATTGGGATGTAACAATTGATGGCGCATCCTAGTTTTCTCCCCAGCTTTTTCACCCTTGGTGGTACCTTAAGTAATGGCACCTTTAAAAACGCAGTGGAACTTTGGAACTTTGCATCCACAGGGGAGGTGAGGGCGGTAAGAGGAGGGACGGGCTGGGCTGCTTCCAGCACCTCCCGTGTCAGATTTTCTCTGCGGCAGCTTCGGGATCTGGCTCCTCCGAGGCCTCCTGCAGGCAGATGAAGAGCAGAACCGTGTTCTAGAGCCAAACAGAAAATTATTTTTGGAGACTCAGGCCAGAGGTTTACCCCTAGCACCCTGCAGACCCATCTGCTGGTGGCACAACCCTCCTTCCTACGCTGGAACAGAAGTGGCTGGAAGCCGGGACAGCCCCCACGGCTGGGTGGCTGCCAGAGACGCGGATGTGGGTGCAGATGGGCTTGGGCTCAGCTCCAAGGGGGGCCTTTTAAAGTGTCCATGGGCCTGGCTCTGTCTCCAGGCAAGAATCAGCCCTGTGGGGCGGCCAGGTGTAAAAAGCCTGGGAACCTAGGGAGAGATGGTGACTGGAGGGGCGGCCAGGGTCAGGGAGCTCGGGGTACTGAGCTCAGAGTGGAGGAGAAGCACATTCTGGACCTTGTCTGGCCACGGGTGGCAGGGAGCCCCCTGAGCCAGGCTCCCTGGGGAGGCGTCCCTGCCTCGGCCACGCTGCACCCGGGCGCTCGCTGTTGCCACTGCCCCAGAGGCCTTGGTGGCCCTCAGACAGCCGTGCAAACAGACTCCTGGGGGAGGAGGGCCGGGGAAGGACACTGGGATCCCAGCTTCTCTCCACAAGCAGCAGAGACAGGAGGAAGCTGCTCCAGGGGCAGGGGCGGGAGGTTGTGAGCAGGCGTCTCCAGAGGGGGCACCAGGGCCTGGGGAGGCTGGAGGACCCCAGCAGTGCAGATTGAGGGCCCCGCTGTGCCAGACACCATGCCCCTCCTCGCCCACTCCACCCAAGAAGTAAGGGGCTCTGGAAAGCGTGGTGTGCAGAGGGCAGGAGGGCAAGCCAGCACCCCCACCTGCCAGCTCCCAGCCAGCCCACGCCCGCCTCCCGCACCCGACTCCACAAGTGTGCACTGAGCGGCGAAGCAAACAGCCCAAATCCCTCCTGACGGAGTCCACGGTCTAGTCCGGAGAGAAATATATTAAGCAAAATAAACATATAGGACGACATTGGTATTCTCTGGGTGCCACGGAGAAAAATACCACAGAAAAGGAGGCTGGGAGGGGTGGAATACTATTTCCCACAGTGTGAACAGGGAAGTCCTCCTGGAGAGATCTGGCCAGAGACCTAAATGAAATGAGGGAATGAGCCACGAGGGTATCTACGGGAAAGGTGCTTCTGGCTCAGGAAGCAGTTTGTGCAAAGGTCCTGGGGCAGGATGAAGCTGGGGTGGTCAGGGACTAAAGAGGAGACCAGGAGCTGGGGTGGAAGGAGGCAATAAGAGAGGGGGAGGAGGTGAGGAGGGCAGGGGAGCGGCATCAGATCCTACAGGGCTTTCTGGGCCGTGGAGAGGACTTTGGCTTCCACTCTGAGCGAAACGGGAACCTGCCCAAGATCTGAGCAGGAGGGTATGAGCTGACTTAGGTTTTACAAGGACAGATGGTCCGGGGCAAGGGCAGGAGGCAGGGACAGCCAGTAGAAGGCCATTATAATCTTCAAGCAAGCTATGATGCTGGCTGGGCTGTGGATGTACTTAGAAGACAGAGCTGACAGGGTTTGCTGACAGATTGGATTTGGGACGTGTTCCAGTTATCTATTGCTGTACAACAAACCACCCCCAAGCCTTGGCGGCTTAAAACGACCAGTCATTTATTTTGCTCATGAATCTGCAAAATGTGGGCAGGGCTCAGCGGGGAGGGTGCCTCTCTGCTCCACATGACATCAGCTGGGGTGGCTGACGGAGCGGCAGGGCCCTCGCAGGGCCGTCCCCACACAGCTAGCAGGTGTGTGCGGACGGCCCGAGGTCTCAGTCCCTCTTTGCATGGGCCATCACGGGCTCCGGGTCCCGCGAGCAAGCACCCCAGGAAACCAAGGCGGAAGCTGCAAGGCGCCTTAGGGTCTCGCCTCACAAGCCCGGAGCATCCCTGCCACTGCCTTATTATGGCCAAGGGAGTCACCAAGGGCAGCCCCGGTTCACAGGGAAGGAGATTAGACTCCACCATCTTTCAGTCGGGAGAATTTGTGGCCATAAGTAATCTGCCACAAGGTGTGAGAGAAGGGAGCAAGTCAAGGTGACTCCAGGATTTCTGGCCTGGGACGCCCACATCCTTGTGCACACCCCTGGTGAGGTCACCTGTGTCCCAATTACCTTCCCCTCCAGAGACAGAGCAGGGTGGCCTTATCCAAGCCCTGGCCCTCGTTGGATCTGTTTCTTCCTGTCAAATAAAGGGTTTGAATCAGAAGGCAGCCGTCCCTTCCAGCCCGGCACACTAGCGTCCAGGCTGGAGGCCGATGCACCCCTCCCCTGCCACAGCGGCCCGGTGCCAGGCCAGAGCCACCATGGTGGCCTACACTCAGGAGAGAGGTGGACAGAAGCAGCCCACTAATGCCACACTGTGGTTTCTGGTGTCTCCAAGCCTTTATCTATCAGGGCGTGATCAAGGGTTGGGATACCCAAAAGCAGTCAGGCGGCCAAGCCCCTGCCCACTGCAGATCCCATCTGCGCCCGACAGCCTGCGTGGGGCTCTGACATGCTGTCCCGGGCACAGAGGGGGTGGCAGAGGGGTTGCTGCCAGTGGCTGTGAGCACACGGCTCCAGCCCGTCCAGTACATCACCCTGTACACGCGTCTGGGGTGGCCAGGGATACACAGGCCCTCTCCTGGGGGCAATGCCAGCAGAATGTGGACCCCTCTGCCCCGAGAAAATACTCTAACACAAACTCTCATGTGCCCAGAAATCTCCCAGGGGAAGTCGTTAAAAAGCTGAACGTGATCAAAGTTTCTGCATTTCTAACCAGTTCCCAGGTGATGTGGGTGCTGCCGGTCCACAGAGCAAGGGTCTGGTCTAGGCTGGTGCGGTGGCTCACGTCTGTCATCCCAGCACTTTGGGAGGCTGAGGCAGGAGGACTGCTTGAGGCCAGGTGTTTGAGTACAGCCTGAGCAACATATCCAGACCCTGTTTTACAAAAAATTTAAAAATTAGCCAGGCATGGTGGCACCTGCCTATAGTCCCAGCTACTCAGGGAGTTGAGGCAGGGGGAGTTGAGGCTTGAGCCCAGGAGTTCGAGGCTGCAGTGAGCTATGATAGATCCTCTGCCCTCCAGCCTGGGTGACACAGTGAGACCCCTTCTCTTAAAAAAAAAGAAAGAAAGAGAGAGAGAGAAAAAAAGAAAAAGTCTGGTTTAGCCAGATCTGTGGTTTCCCAGGCGGACACCCTAGGGGACTGCAATACTGACACCTGGCCGAAGGGACCACTGTCTAGCCCCATATGTCACAGATGACAGGACAGCAGCCATAGCACACTGAGCACCTACAATGTCACCATTAGGAGCACAGCCAGGCTCTGGAGCCAGAGCACCCAGGTGGATGAGCTGTGCGACCTCAGGCAAGTGCCTCCATCCCTCTGTGCCTCTGTTTGCCCATCTGCAAAATGGACAAGCACCTGGGGAGTGGGAGAGAGAAGGAAGGGTTGAGCACGAGGGGAGAGGAGAGATGGGAAGGAGTATTATACAGAAGGGGGATTGCAAAAGGGGGGAGGGGAAGAGGTAAGAGAGAAAAAGAAAGGAGGAAGGAAAAGGCAGAGGAGGAAGGCAGCAAGGAACCCTGATGACAAGGGGCTTAGCAGGAGTCATAGCCGGAGGCGGCACTGAGAAAGAGTGTGCGGACAGGCCTGGGAGCTTGGGGGGCCAGGAGGTGGGCGGGGGAGGTGGGCCCAAGGGAGCTGCAGCCCTCTTATCCCGTCCCAAGCTCTAAGGTACTAGGGAGAAATGAGATTCTAGCTGCAACCCTCTGGGACACATCCTGCCTTTTCATTTACGGGGAACAGTAGAAAAATGACTGGGGGAGGTGCCACTACTGCTTTTTTAGGCAATTGCAGCAAAAATGTCTCCACTGGGAGCGTGAAGCCCATCAGGATGGTTACGTAACGGCCTGGCCGCCTACATCAGGCTCGGCACCCACGAGCCTCACTCCCCAGGCCGACTTCACCCCAGGGCCCTGCGGCCTAGACGCACCTGTGACCCTGCCGGGAGCTGCAGGGCAGACGTGAGACACCCGGCGCTGGGCATCGTGCTGGCCCTTCTGATACAAGATCCAGGACCATCCCACCTCAGCTCTGCAACACAGCCCCACGTAGGGAAACTGAGGCATAGCAGTAGTCTCAACCCCTTTCTGGACCACCGCACCTGCTCATTCGTATTGGCATCCTTCAGCCAGTCAGAGGCTCGTAGGGACCACAGTTGTCCCTGGGCTTGTGGAATGACAGTTTTGGGGCCTTCTTGAAGTAAAGAGAAATGGACATCTGTGCCTTCCTGTAGCTCACCACCACCCCTCCTAAAATAAAGATGTTCTCTTTTGATTTTTGCCCAAAACAGTTCTTTGTTGAGTAAGGCTGGGAGGGGATGGGTGTGCTTGGAGGAAACAGAGGAACAATGTCAACATGCTGGCAAGGGTAGAGGTTGGCATCGTGGGCCTTTAAAAGCTGCCACAGTGGACAAGGTGCAGTGTCGTACATGCAGGGTGTAATTAATAGACTGACTGGGCACTGCCTACCAAGCTCAGGCTGGAGGCCAGGGCAGCCCATACCCTCCTCCTCCTCCAAGGGGAAGCAGCCCTGGCTGGGCTGCGTCTTGGCGTCTCGGCTCACGCCGTACCTTGGCCTGGAGTGCGCTCTCCCTGCCCTGCAGCTTGCTCACACTTCCAGGCCCAGCACAGATTCCACCTCCTCTTGGAAGCCCACTCTGAGCCTTCCAACCTACTGTCTCCCACCTTCCCTGACTGCCGGAAGCCAGCCAGAACCAGAATCCTGATGTGGAAGAATCACACTGCGCCCTGGCTGGGCTGGTCTCTCTAAGCACACCTAACGACAGGGCAGCCCTCACCCTCGCTCCAGGAAGAACATTTGAAAATGCGTCTTCCCGTTTCACAGGAGGGGCCTGACAACCAGGTGTGCCGAGTGCCACTGCTTGATCACTCTCTGTGGCCCTTGTCCCCTCTGACACTGTATAGTTTAGTTCTTTTTTTGTTTATTGTCTGTTTCTCCCACTAGGTTGGAAAGCCCTAGGTGGCCCGGGGTGGCTATGTTTGCCTGTTTTCTTCACTGTCCTATCACCAGTGTCTGAAACAGTGCCCGGCACACAGTAGGTGCTTAATAAATTTTTGCTACACCCAGTTCTTTACAAAGAGGGAATTTATGTGGCAGAGTTGCTCCTTGCCTTGACCCACAAACGTGCAGCGGCTGATGGGAGGGAAAGCACAGGGCGAAGCAAGGTCTCATCCCATTCGGGGGCCTCAACCCTCTCCCCTGAAAGTCTGAAAACTGGTAGCATCTCCTTATATAATTCTCCTTATCCAGAGCACAAGCCCTCAGAGAGCTCACAGAACAGACATTCTTTTGTTCATGTATTTTTCCTGGACACATTGGAGAATACCCAGAGAACAGCACCTTTTTGAGAGTACAGTGACTTGCCTGATGTCACTCACCAGGTTAGTGGCCCAGCCAGAGTCCCACTCCCTAACCCCGGGCGAGGGTACTGGCCACAGCCCATGCTGGCTCTCTGCCACCACCGAGACCACAGGAGGCAAAAGGCCAGGAAATGAGCTAACGCTGGAGTTTTGCTCCAAAACACAATTCGAGAGTCTGCGGTGCAGGCGGCACCTGCCACACCTCCCCTCCCGGCTGGGCTGGGGGCTCTGGGGACGGCCCCAGGTCCATGAGCTTGGGCACTAATGGAGCTGGTTCTCCGGTGGGAATCCAGACCGCCTGGTCTTCTCCTGGGGGCTCGTAGAGCACGGCCTCCCGCCTGGGGGCATCAGATGCAGCAGGTCTGGAGCGAGCTCAGAACCTGCGCCTCTAGCACACGCTCACGCTGAGGGGTGGCGGGACCCGCTTTGAGAACCATCAGCCTGGAGAAAACACCCCGCTGTTCACAGGTTCACGCTGCGGAGTTTGAGTAGGGCACGCGTGAGGGACGTTCACTTTTCATTTATCCACCCAGGTATGGTTATGAACTTTTAAAAACTGTAGGGATTATTTTTGTAATAATTTTTAAAGTTTTAAAAGAAAACGAGCAATTCGTGCATGGTGTGAATGGCAATTATCTATTCAACCTAACAAGCATTTATTATGTGTCTACTGTGTGCAGGGCAAAGTTTTAAATGAATAAGAAGACACAGTCCCCATTGTCAGGACACATAAGAGCCACATGGGGAGCTAGACAGATAAAATAGCATTACTAGAAAGGAGGAGGGAGCACACTAGAGGTGTCTGTAGGTGCAACGGGAACACGGTGGCAATTAATTCCACCCGAAGAGTCAGGAAAGACAGCCAGAGGGAAGGCGGCAGTTTCACTCTGCCTAGAAGGACCCTAGTCAAGGGGATCAGCGGGGGCAGAGCCTGGAGAAAGCTGCACCGCGTTTGTGGGGACCTGGCCCACAAGCCTGGGGCGCCGGGCACAGGCACTGGAGGCAGGCCAGGAAAAGCAGGAGGCGGGTAGGTGGTGCAAGTCCCTAAGCGGCTGTGACTTCGTACAAAGCCCTCAAAGACCTGAAGCAGAAAGAGGAGGCGTCAGACCCGCGTCCGTCCGGAGGGCGGCCTGGTGACTGAGGGGGGATGGCACGGGACGAGGTGGGGAGGGAGGGAGACCAGGGAGGAGGCAGGTGCAGATGTCCCAGAGAGGGGCCATGGGGCCGGGACTGGGGACAGTGGGGCAGCAGCACAGAGGCTGGGCGTTGTTGAAGCCTGGCCGGGAGAGAGGCAGCCGGGCCCTAGGGTCCCCGCCTGGCCACAGGCTGCTGTAGCACTGGGCTGGAGATCACGTGGTCCCAGATCCCTAGTTCCCTGGCCACAGCTGATTGGTCCATGTCCAGGCATGTGATCCAAGCGCACATGGGAGTGCTGAGATTCTGCGGGAGACCCGCTCTACAGAACTCCCTGCAAAGTATGTGTAGTTAGAGCAGCACCTGAGTGGACACATAGTACTACAGTAATAGGGTACTGGGCAGGGGGGAGGGGGGCGAGTATATACATACATAATGAGTGAGATGTGCACCATCTGGGGGATGGTCACGCTGGAAACTCAGACTTGTGAGGAGAAGAGGTAAAGGGCATTTTTTGAAACCTTAAAATTTGTATCCCCATAATATGCCAAAAAAAAAGAAAAGTATGTGTAGTTAAGGACTCAGCCCTGATGCCCCCACCGTCCTTGTCCCCACACAGGACTGGGCACGCAGCCCGGTGGTCATAGAAAAGGAGAGTTGAAGGGCAGGTGCAGTCCTGGGGACCTCCTAGAGGGGAGAGCTAGGTTCGGCTGGCGGAGGGCAGAGCAGAAGCCTGGCAGGAGCACAGGCCAGGTGGGCTGTTCAAGCCTGGCTCTGTCTCTCCAGTGCTCTGCGGAGAGGACCCCTGCAGCCTGCCCCTCCGGGGGGGAGGTCCTGCTCCCCTCCCTGCACCACTCTGGCCTGGGTGCCGGAGAGTGGCTGTGGTCGGGAGTGTGCCCGCTCAGCCTTGCGGACACGGGCACAGCAAGAGTGGTGTCAGCCGTTTGTGTTGCTGCAACAGAGTACCACGGACTGGGTGGTTTATAAACAGGGGAAGTTTCTTTGGCTCACAGTTCTGGAGGCTGGGAAGTCCAGGATCAAGGTGCTGGACTCTTGATCCAGCACCTTGATCCCTTGGGTGAGGGCCCTTGGGCGAGGGCCTGCGGGCTTCCCGGCCCCATGGCGGAGGGAGGAAGGGCAAGGGAGCGTGAGACAGCAAGAGCAGAGGGGCTGAGCTCACCTCTACGAGAAGCTCACTCCCGAGATAACTACCCCACTCGGCCATGACGGCAATAATCCGTTTGTGAGGCAGAGCCCCCATGCCCCCCTCCCACTTTTGGATTGCAAATTACATTTCCAACACATGAACTTTGGGGGACACATTCGAACCACAGCAACTTGCCTCAGGTCACACAGCCCGTTAGTGGCCGTGCAGAGCCCCACGTCCAGGCCTCTTTCTCCTGGGGAGGAGGCTGGGCGGAACTCCCTGTGGCAAAATCTCCCAGCCTATATGGGACGTGGAGGACTCGCCCAGAAATGCTGACTCAGAGCCCCATGCAGACGCCCCAGCGGAGCCTGGGACCTGGCGTGCACCTGCCCAGAAATTCCTTAGGCTCCGGCCAGGGAGGGGAGGCTGGGCCTGGTGGCGTGGTCAGGAGATTAGCAGTGCTGTGGCTTCAGAGCCTCAGACTGATGCCTCCTGCCCCCTTCTAGCTACCACCCATCTGGCCCGGAGGCTGCTCTAAACCCTCCCTGGGAGCATCAGCCAGGAGCTGCCAGGCCACACGGGGAAGGTGGGAGCAGGGAGAAAAGAGGCTCTGCTGTGCCAGGCCAGGTGCCCGTAGAACACTCCCCAGTGGCAGGGCTCCCAGTGGAAGAGACAGCAGTGACAGGCACCCGGTGCCAGACCCGCAGATCAATCCACGGGGACACAGATGGATAGAAGGGTGCCACAGCAGAAGGGGGTGGGGATGCCCCTATGACTCGAGGCCCCCAAACCAGTACTAACCCTGCTCCTGTGACAGCTCCAGGCCTAGGTGGCAGCAGGAAACCCCAGCTCCTCCATTTCCTGCCTCCATCTGTGTCGAACTGTGTTCTCCCCCCAGCACACATTCCATCCTTCTCTTTTCTTTCTGTCCTGTTTTCTTCCTCCCTCCCTTGGCTGCTCTCCTCCCCTCCTCCTCTGACTCCTCCCCTCCCTCCTCCTCCAGAGCTGTTACTGCTTTGAGTTAAGCATTCTGCTCCTCCTGTGTCCTCTTTTTAAAGGCCCCTGGGGAAGTAATCGGGGTATTGCAGTGACTTCCCTGAAAGGAGGCCAATGAGAACACAAAAGAGGTGGGTGGGTGAGGAGCATCTCCCCTACCCACCGCCCCCCGTTCCCACGTGGCCTGCTTGAACCCCCTGGGATTGCAGTGACAGGAGAAGCCAGACAGGAAACGTGAGGCCAAGAAGCTGAGAAAGCATCAGCACCTGCCCAGGGAGGGGTGGGGGTGAGCAGGGGGAAAACTGGGCTGACCCCAAATTTCAACCCCAGGAGTGCCCAGAGCCCCACCCTGGCAAGGGCAGGGACCTGGTAGGGCCACAATCCTCCGCATCCCTGGCTCTTCCTTTGGCCTGAAGAGTGCTTGTCACCTGCCTAATGGGAGGCAGCAAGTGGAATTGGGTCACGAGGTGCAAATGAAGCCATTTCCCACCACTTGCACAGTGACCAGGTGCAGCAGGTCCTCAGCAGGGATGTGCGGTCCACTGCCCCTGCCAGCCCTGAGAACCCTAGGAACCCATCCCCCACCCAAGGAGCCTTGGGTCACCACTGCCCATTCTCCAAGTGCTGTCCTCAGCCGGCCCCCGACGACTCTAGCACTGCCAGAGATTCCCTGCGCTGCTCGCCAACTGAGCACAGGCAGCACACTGAACATATTGTCCCCCACACTTGCCCTGCCATTTTTCAAATGTCTGAAGATGCTATTGTGATTAACAAAATGCAAATTCATCCAGAACGTTCCTGAGTCTATAGTGGATCTTCGTCACTGAATTTCCTACACAGTGACAGATACTAAAAGAGCAGTTGAAAGTTTTTGTTTTCAAACAAAGCGATGCTGGGTTTTATTCTTTTATTAATTTTCTTTTTAACATTTTTGTTATGGAGAATTTCCAAAACAGACAAAAGTGCAGAGACTAGTCTAAGGCAGCCCAGATGCCGTCACCCAGCATTACAGTCACCAGCTTAGGCCAATCTTGCCGTACCCGTACCCTGGCCACACCCGTCCTCTGTTAGCTTGAGGCCAGCCCCAGCTCACGTGTCACTTCATACGACAAGATTTTACTATAGATCTCTAAAAGATAAGGGCTCTCTATTTTAAACAGAGTCAAAATACCATTATCACACTTCAAAAAAATTGCTTAATGGCAATTCTGTCACGTGAGTCGGTGTCCAAAGCTGTTGAGAGTGTTCATGTCAATCATGCATCCTTACACTGGGAAAGGCGGGGGCCGCTGGGCTGTGTCTTCCCCTCACTTGACTGTGACTGTGCCTGCCTCTTATTCCCCACCCAATCTCCGCCCCCTGCACAGCAGGCAGGAAAAATATGAGGCCAGAAACCGGGTCAAAATCCTCTTCCCTCCCAAACCCCGGGAGAAGCAGGTAAGGACCAGCACCTGTGGGCTCCACAGTGGCTATTCCACCAAACATGTTCAGTTCAAATGAGCTGCATGCTTATGCTAGAACACAGGTGTAGACCCAAGGCCTGAAAGCTCAGAGGGTGGTGAAAAGCAGTGGGCACCACACCCCGGCAGGGGCAGACACACAAGAGGGAGTCAGGTCCAAACATTGGGGTGGCGCATTCGGCTCCCCACCCCACCTGTCCAGAGCAGAGCCTGCACCCCTGGCCACTCTGCTGGAGCCTCACCCACCTGACCTCTCTTCAGCTCCTCCAGGTCTTGTGAGAAACTGTCTCTGTGCGCCCTACTCTCCACTCTGCACCTAAATGCCACTTCCTCCAGGGAGGCCCCTGGAGCCCACCTACCATTGAAGGACCCCAGATTTTTGTCCACTCTGTCCTCTGGATGCTGCCTAACCCACCCTTCCCTGAGGCCATGGGTCATTTGCCTTCCGCCCACATAGCCGTACCTTCCACTGTAAGCTCTCAGTAACTGCTTATAGCCCGGCAGGCGGGGACCGTCCTCCTGCACTGAGATACTCCTCCTCCCTCACAGCCTCGCTGATTCTCTCCACCTCTTTGGTTCTTTTCTTGCTTTTTAAACCCAGGCTTCTCCCCCACAAATCCATTTACTTCACAAGCTCTTAATGAGCACCACTGTGTGCCAGTGCCTAGGAGTCATTCCATAAAGGTGAGGGCAGCAGGCACAAGTGCAGGTGTGGCTGCAGGCAGCTTCTCCAAACCCTCTGCACCCAGATGGCCCCACAACCCCACAAAGCCCGGCCTTCCTCACGCCCAGGGATTGACAACACAGACCTGAATCAGACACTTAGGCCCATCCTTAGTGGAGATGACACTTAAATTGGACTAAAATTTTCACATTTGCTCATTAAATTCTCAGGCCAACCCAGGAGGTAAGGGATTGGGTGGGACTAACATGCCGGCTGTGAGCTGTTGACAGTGTGGCACACAGAGGTTGTGTCTTGTCCAAAGGGTGCACAGCATGGCAAGGAGGGGGCAGCCTGGGCCTGGACCCAGCTTTCGACACATTTCAATGGCCCAAAGAGCCGACCTCCAGGAGCCCATGTCCACAGTGCTTGGTCTGGTCCCCTCCCAAGCCCTTTGTTGTCACCCTAAAAACCCTCCTTCCTCCCTGTGTCCAGTGCTCTGAGTGTTAGGAAGTGCCTCTAAAGTCCCCAGGATGGCCACCCCCCACCACCAGCCAACTCCTTAGGTTACAGTCAAAGTAACCGAAGACGCGGAAAATGCCTCAGCATTTATTGAGCACCTACTGTAGACACCAGGCTCTTCACATCCATTGTCTATTCAATTCTTATAGTGCCCCAGGGAGGCAAACCTTATGACACCACTATTCACAGGAAAAGGGGCTCCAACCAAGCCAAGCCCCAATATTTTTGCAACTTCATTGACCAGAAATGGGAACTTCTGTGTCAAAGCTATCAGCAATTCTATGATTCATGTTGTGGAAAGACAGCTCTTTTGTTCTGGGAAAAATAATTTAACAGATTTTTTTTGTGCAAAAGCATAGCCAAACTCCTCTTCTAGACTGGAGCGGGTGGGTCTGGTGAGAAGCTCATGCTTCCGGAGGCCATGTGGCCTCTCAGCCCAGCAGAGGGCAGGGCCTGGGCTGCGGGTCACAGGGCTATGGCCAAGGCACTCTCATGAAAGGTACAAGTGGCCCCTTGGCATCAGGTCCAACCTAAGGTGAGAGCCGCCCTGCAGGAGAGGAGTTGGGAGGTGCTCGTGGAGGCACAGGGCCCTCAGACCCCAGGGTCAGGGCTCCTGCTACCCAGTTTTTCTTTATACTGGCTAAGTCCTAAGTAAAGCTTGCTTAAACCCCAGAGCCCTATCTTAGCCAGACTTTGCAAATTAAGGGAATTAGGCGTGTGTTCCAGCTTGGAGGGAAGGGGTTTGAGGAGAAAGGAATTGGCCTGAAAATGCCCACGGTGATGAGGTGGTGGGCAGAGCCCAGGAACAGCGTCAGCCAGAGCACGATGCTGGCATAGCCGCCACCACGGATTTGGGGAGATGTGCAAGAATTCCTTGGGGATCCCAAGAACTACTTTGCAGGGGAGCCTGGGAGAGACTGGGCTCCTTACAGACCGCAGGTAGGAGAGGGGCTCTGAGTACCGTCGTTTTGGAGGAAGCACAGTCCCCATAGACTGGAGAAGTGGGAGGCATCTGAGTTACTACAGATGAGTAAACTGAGGCCCTGCAAGGCCAGGTGGGTTGCCCAAGGCTCCCCCAAAGCCCCTGCTCTCTAGCCTCTGCCCTGCCAGTTCCTCCCTGGCTAAGCGGCTGCTTGGCCCAGCTCCCCGTGTCTCTGTCAGCCCCTCCACCTTGAGAAGGGATGGGGTTCTTGGTGGGGGCAGCCAGCCCTGACACACGCGTCTGCCCTCCACGAGGTCTGATTGACTTTTCCCTGCCCTGCCTGTCCAAGCAATAATTAGGATCCCTTTTCTATGTTAAGCAGCTGCTGTCATCACCATTTCACAGCTCTCCTAATCACATTTCTCCTCCTTCTCTTTATCCTGGAGGCAGGTTTCTGACAAGTCCACTGCTTCCATTTCCCTTCGAAAACAGCAGAAGGATGTTGGAGACAGAGCCTGGAGGTGGCAGGGGTGGGGCGGCTTTGTTAGAATATGGACAAGGCCGGTTCTGACTTCCAGGGCAGGCCAGCCTAGAAGGAATAGGTCACACCCTGCAGGGGAACAAGGAAGGACCTCATGACCCCATGGCTCCCTGTCCCTGATGCCGAATCCCCTCATTAGAGATTTTCCCTTTGCATGGGCTTGTTAAAATACAGACATTCTGGCCTTCGTCTGTGCTGGCCCCTTGCCTGCCTGCCGGCTCTTTCCGCTCTGCTCTGGGTCACAGAGGGCTGCCCCCATAAACTACATTTCCCAGGCTCCTCACCTGCTGGCTTCCTGTCAGGCTGGACCAATGGCAGCCGTGGGTGAGGCCCGTGGGCGGGAAGAGGAGGGAAGCCAGGGTGTTTCTTCCCCTCTCTCTGGTTTGTGTCATCTCTCTGGAAACCTGTTTATCTGGCCTTTTGCTGGCTTCCACGGGTTGCCCTCCACAGTTCCAGTTCAGCCTGGGAGGTCCCCCAGGCAGCCCCTTCACTGCACCCCGGCTCCCGCTGGGCAGCCAGCTCCGGGACCCTGGCCCTTGTTCCTCCATCCCCAGGGGGAGCAGGTTCCTGCCACTGGTGATCTCTGGGTCACCTGCTCATCCCGTTTCAGCACTTCCAGCACCCCAGCAATCCATTCTGCATATTATACTTCCTTAGTGAACTCCCCACCAAAAGTTCTGTGTTACTGCTTGAGCGGACACAACGTCTCACACTTAAAGTATTCAACATGGAACTGTTGACTTCACCTCCCCCAACAGGTGTCTCTTCCTTCCTCAGTTCTCTCCAGCTCAGTGTTACCAC